ATCTTCACTTACTCACAATCAAGGTTCAGCTCCTCCCAGCTCGAAGCCGAGCTCTTCTCCATCCGCGAAATCTGCGACGCACGCTATCAAGATAGCAACGGTAGCCTCGAGGCACTTCCGGTGCACCACCAAGCAAACCTCCACATTCTTCACAGCCACATCGATCAACTCTTCCTACTTCTTCTCCGGCCTACGCTTTGCCGCTTCTTGCAAGGCGAAGTCACGACCGAGACAATTACCGCGCGGGGGAAATGCATGACTATAGCCAAGAGATCACTATCCAATTTCCAAACCCTCTTGGAATCTCCACAGTTTGCAGCACCATATAAATGGTATACTAGCGGACTGGGCAGTTTCCATGCATTCCACGCCGCCGTGGTTCTAGCCATCGGCCTCATGAACCCAGAGAGCACGGCCGAATTCGACGAGACGAAGGAAATTCTCAGCAAAAATCTCGATCTATTTGCCTCATTGTCTGTGAGAAGTATCTTTTGCAGCAAGGCGGTCCCTATCGTACGACAGATTGTGTATGTTTCTTCCTGTCTCACTTCTCCCCCTTTGTAGGTTCCTAGGTATGAAATGGCTGCTAATGAAGTTTACAGTGAGGTTGCATCAAAACAATATACCGAGCTTCAGAAGCAGCAAGCTCAGACCGAAGCCCGGGTCCAGCCTCAGAATGCTATTCAATGTTCGACTCCGATCCCCTCTCAAACTCCTATCCACCACCCTCAAATGTTCACTACACTCCCGCCATCCCTTTCATCCATCGCGGTCTCTGACAACTACGCCTTCTCTCACGCACAATCTCTCTCTCCTGTCCCGACTGTTTCTTCCACCTGCAGCGATCCAACGATGCAATCAAGTTTTGGAGTCCATCTACACCCGCAGAACTGGCTTGCTCCTACTTCTGTTCCGTGGGACTCTCTGGGCTCTTCGGTTGGTCATTATGGGTTTGAGACTGATGTTACCATGTAGGGGACGTCGTCCTAGGGGGGTGTTTTCCTTGTTTCTTTTCTATTATTTCTCTCTTTCAAATTTCGGGAAAAGTCTTTCTGGCGCAGATACGGATATGGATATGGATATGGCCCGTGGGCATGGGTGGTGGCTTTGTGTTTCGAAGTTTGATGAGACCATGATGAATGAGTATTTTAATTATTTCTATCTCTTTAGAGAATATTTTCAGTGAAAGAAACACCAATTACTTGGCAATACTACTCAAGTACTCAATGTACTCCATACTCTATACTACTGTACTGTTGTACTTAACTAAACCCAGTGGAAGCCAGCTAAAGCCCGCCAAGACTGGTTAAGCCCTCCAGCCACACCCGCCAATCACGCCCGCAGGTCCAGTCACGCCTGCCGATCTCTTCTCTTCTTCTTTCCACTTCTTCTTCCTCTTCCTCTTCCCATCCACTTCCCTCATCTCTAAGCGAAGTCATCGTTACATGATCATCCGCTCTTGAAATTGCGTGCGCTTCACTCCGACAGAAAAACTTAATCTTGATAAACAAACAGACCGTGAAGACATGGAAGACCCCGGCTCAACACAAGTGCGGAGACGGAGACCACCACTTGACCCGCTAATAGCCCTGCGCGTGCAGGCCATGCGGTCGCTGATTTGAGTCGTCGATCATTCTACTTTTGATCACCACGGCCCACCTCGGCTTCCAGGGCTCCAGTCTAGTGGCTCTGCTTGGTCCGTCCCTTCACATCCCTTCACATCCAACCGGCCACTGCGTGTACCTTGTGCCTTCGGCACAACAGGGTACCTGTCAATCTACGCGAATCGCGCCATCCTCTCCATGGAATGAATATGCGTGACCCAATCGGGTGGTCTATATTTCCACCTGACCCATCATTAATGGATACTCTATCGGAGCTCCCATGCCTACCCCGCAGCACCGCAGGATGGTCGGAGCTGGCCTACACCGCAATCGAGCGAGACGATGATCAGGGAGGCTACACGTGGGATGTGATGGGATGGGAACAGGTACTGGCTTCGTCGGAGCGAAGACCGGTGTTGCACATGGTTTCCATCCGTGATAAGTATAAAAGTCGGAGGGTCTTCGAAACAACCTGCCCTCTCAAACGAACATCTTCCCATCCCAGGATCTCATCATGCACCCCAGTGCTCTTGTCGGTCTACTGGCCTTTGCAGCCGCTGCTGCTGCGGTGCCCAAGGGTGGTCGCTCCAATGCGCACTCTGAAAGCTCCATCAAGAACTTGAAGAACGTTATCAAGAATGTTGTTGTTCTGGAGCTGGAGAACCGCTCTCTAGATAACTTGCTTGGTGGCCAGACTATCAAGGGCCTTGAGAACCCTATCAACAATGGTCCCTTCTGCAACCCTTATAACTTGACCGATGCCTCTCAGGGCCAGGCTTGCAGTGCCGCTAAGGACTTCGATTCGATTCTCGATGACCCTGATCACTCGGTCACCGGCAACAACATTGAATTCTACGGCACTTTCAGCCCTAACAATGCAGACATTGCTAGTGGCAAGTTGATCCCAGGCCAGAAAGGCTTTGTGCACGAGCAGCTGCGCAGCCATGCCGGCGATCTTGCCAATAAAGACCTTGCCAAGCAGGTTCTCAACTATTATACCGAGGATGAGGTACCAGTCTTGACAAGCCTGGTCCAGAACTACCTTACCTTCAACCACTGGCACTCAGACCACCCTGGCGTAAGTCTTCTATCTTCTCTAAAGTGTCAAAAAATATTCAGGATCTCACCTTACCCACTCTAGCCCACAAACCCCAACCGCGCATATGTTCTCTCAGGAACCTCAGCCGGTCACGGCACAAACGATGCCGGATTCGACGCCGACACCCACAGCCTGACCCAGCGCACTATCTTCCAACAACTCTCCGAAACAGGCCACACCTGGAAGAACTACTACACAGACGCCGACACCGGCATGGTCGACCTGTGGTTCTTCGACTGGCCCTTCACCAGCGGCAACGACAAGCTCGCCGTCCCAATGAAGGACTTCTACTCCGACGCCGCAGCCGGCACCCTCCCCGAATTCAGCTTCCTCGACCCATCCTGCTGCGGCACCGGCACAAACTCCATGCACCCAACCGGCCTAATCTCCGACGGCGAGAAATTCATCAAAGAAGTCTACGACGCCCTCCGCGCTAGCCCCCAGTGGAACGAAACCCTCTTCATCCTAACATTCGACGAGACCGGTGGTTTCCACGACCACGTCCCCCCTCCTCTGGCCCCGCGCCCGGATAACCTCACCTACACCGAGACCGCGCCAGACGGCTCGAAGTACGAGTTCACTTTCAACCGACTGGGCGGCCGTATCCCCACTATCCTCATTTCTCCCTGGGTTGGAAAGGGCCTCGTTGAGCAGAAGGGAACTAACTCGGACGGCAAGACTGTGTCGTACTCTGCTTCGTCGATCCTCAGGACTCTCGGTTATCTTTGGGATTTCGACCCTTTTACACCCCGTGTTGGTGGTTCTGCTTCTTTCGATCACTTGATTCGCTCTTCTAAGCGTGATGATACCCCGACGGCTCTGCCTGCGCCTAAGGCTTTCAAGAGGAAGGCTTAGACTACTGGGTTGGTTGGTGGTGGTGTGATGGTTCGATAATGAATAATTATAGACTTTGAATGAAAATTTCATGAATAATGGTCTTTGGTCCTTAAACAAGGGCTTACAACCTGAGACATGTAGCCAGGTAGATGAGGTCGAAGAGTTGCAGTTGCATGAGAAGACAGAAAGACCATTTTCTGTCAAATTCAATGAGAATCATCCATAGAGTCCAAGATTGGAACTTCGATTATTGGCAGTCTGCATGTAAGCTTGCCTGGATGAAGAAAAAGAAAAGCCGACTTATTAGTATTGGTAGACTATAGAGCTTTATAAGATACAGTACTGGAAATGAAGGCTTTCTTTTGTATTCAAGCTACCAAAAGCTATGGAATAATATCGTCAATTTCAGCAGGGGAAGAAAGACCATTTATCCTAACAATCGACTTGCAATCAAACGTCGGAAGCCTAGTTAGTAGTATCGGGCTCGAACAATTTCATAACTCATGTTATTTATCATCACCTCGAAAATCAAGGATGCACTTTGAGGCGTCAGAACCATATCAAATTTGATGCGATAGTACTCAACCCCGCGAGAATTGCTGCGTTTTTCGAATAATTCCTTTGGGATCTTGTTCAAGTCCGACAGTGTGGCTCAGACATATTTGTTGACTACAATATTTCGCAGGCACTATTCACGACACCGCTGAATAGTGACCCAACATTGTTTCTGAAGGCGTCTGTGATGACCAGTCCTGATAATGGGCACTTCGAATTCGAGGAAACTCCCAATTGTGTAGTTCACTAGTGGATGCATGAACTGAATTTCCAAATCTGCTGATAGATTCAGGATCTGTCGGATGTGCCTAGCTCTATACTCTTGATGCACCACGAAATATCCCTAGAACCTCACGTACGAGGTATCGAACTGGCCTTTTCGACTCGTGCTCTCAGGCTCCATGCTTTTGGACCCTGGGAATAAAGTTGAGTTGGTTTTTTTCCTACTCTATCTTCGAAGACCCACGAAGCCAGTCTGCTAGCCTTGATGAAATAACACTAGCTCGAAAATTCATTGCCAAATTTATTTCTCCTGCGGCCTGTAGTATTTCAATCTTCGAAGAATAGATAACAGCCAAATGAATAAATACACTTGACACTGGCATGCTTTGAGTTTCACGTCGTGAGTTCTCAAGTCTACGTCATATTATCTAGCAGTAGACATCTATACATTGAAGTTCTAACGACTCATCCTGGACAGTCACTAGTATTTTAGTGAAAATAAGCACTAAGACTGATTTAGATTATAACTTTAATTCCATGCGCTAAAAACCTCCTCATTCTCGTATTGAGCACGCACCAGCACACGACCCCTTGACAAAAAGGGCAACTTATGATGGGCATCCCCTCGAGGCAGACTCAAGGATCTTGGAAATCATAGCTGTATTCCCCATTCCCCATTCCCAATGGAAGCCATGTCATTTAAACTCGCCCCTTCTCATTTTCTGTTAGCATCTGTACTCTTTGCGATCTGGTGGATCTACGTCCGCCTTTCCCCAGCAACAGTTATGGCATCTTCATCATCGAACCGCACCGACCCCCACATTCTAGGCAACGCATATCGCGACAAAGGCCTATTAGATGAGGCCGAACAGATGTATACCCAGGCCTTAGCGGAAAGGGAGGCAAGACTAGGACCAGAACACGCCTCAACCATCGACACCGTCAACAACCTAGGTGTCATCTACAGCAGAAAGGGCAGACTCGACGAGGCAGAGCAAATGTACACCAGAGCTCTAGCGAGAAGAGAAAAAGATCTCAGGCGCAGAGCACACAGCAACTCTCGACACAGTCAATAACCTTGCGATCGTCTACTGTCTACAAGGAAAAGTAAACAAGTCCGAAAAGATCTTCATGCGAGTTCTATCCGGGCGAGAGAAACACCTCGGAGAAAACCACGCGGCAACCATCGACACGCTCAACAATCTAGGAAACCTCTACATTGCACAAAAAGAACTCAAAAAAGGGGAGGATATGTATCTCCAGGTCCTGGCCAGAAAAGAGGCACTGGTCGGAGCAAACGACGACATCGCAGCTCTCAATACCGCCAACAATCTTGGCAATCTGTATTATTCACAGTCGGAACTCGACAAGGCGGAGCAGATGTACACGCGAGCGCTAGCGGGGAGTGAAAAGACGTTAGGAAAGGGTCATCCCTCAACCGTGGAAACTCTCAATAGTCTCGGAAAGCTGCATAATGTGCAGAGAAACTTGGGCATGTCGGAACGGATGTATCTGCGGGCGCTGGATGGGGCTGCGAAGGATTTGGGTCCGGATCACCCCTCGACGTCAGAGACGGTTACCAATCTTATGGACTTATATTGTGCTAATGGCAGGATGGACATGGCTCGACAGTTACAGGAGAGATGGCTTCGTATGTGATATTTGAATATAGCATCAGCTTAGTAGCTGAAAATCCGCCTCGGTCACTTTGGAAATTGGAAATGGGCCCTCTTTGTATCATGATTAATGGCATACTGAATTTCAACTGCAACATACCATTGACACGTATTCAAGTTCAATGCTGCGCCAGCTACCTAGGTATTGCTGCAGATATCTTCCTGCGGTCTGCTTGTGCGGCTGCGGCTCTGATTTTAATGCGGTATCTTATGTCCGATACGCTGAGGGGGTCCTTCTAGATCGCTTATCACTACTGATATAGGCGTAGCAGTGCTGTTACAGTAATATTCGAGTTCAGTTATACCACCACACTCTTACGGCTTGATTCCCGGAAAATAAGTCCGAAACAAGCTAACCTTCTTTAGGTCACCGCTTCATAATCTCGGCAGAACCGTCATCGTAATGATCTTACACTCTTGCTGAGTCATCGTTATAGTACCGTAATAGTACATAGAACCATCTAGAATTGCATAGGTAGATCTGGCAATCTGGCAAGATCGCCCTCTAGTTTCCTTTTCCCCGCCAGCCTCGCTTCGCCTCTTTCCCTCAAATGCAGTGCAACATTTATCAACCACCAGTCATAATTATAATTTAGGACGCTGTGCTTATGCCGTAGACGGCTAGACCTGGTAGGGAAATATGTTTCACTGCTTCTGTGGATTAAGCTCTTGCCATCGCCAGTCTTATTTGTTACTAGCTTGCACCAGAAAATGGTATCCCAGCAGAGCTAACATCCCTTTCCAAGGATTGTGACTACATTTAGGAGATAAGCTAATACAATGTCGACGATTTATCTCAGTTCGTGGACCACGAACCATGGGAACCAAACTTGGATTATGTACTAACTCCTGGCCTCTATGGTAGCCCTTGCGCCTCACTTTCTGCCTTGAGCCCCTCTCTATCTCGAATCGAGCTCGCGAGTACCCTGATCTACGTGCTCTCAAATTTTTACTATTATCTATGTGGTAAGACAGAAAAGACTACGACGAGGACCCGCTAACTTATATCCACTATCATATCGAGTGGCGAGTGACAGTCAATAATATAGAGGTGTCAACAGATATAGAGAAAGATATTGTTTTAGCGCCTAGTATCTTTTAGCAGCTATTATTAGAGAAAAAGCTAGAAGAAACTTTACGACAAAAGGCTTCCTGTTATCACCGGTTGAGACCTGATAATACTATCATTGTTGTATTAACTAGCGATCGTACCAAACACAAACTAATAAAGTAATTCGAAGATACTAATATGAATTAGACTACTATTAAGAAACAGCTTCTAATATAGTTAAAAATCTTCTCCTACAATAAGGAGCTTACACTAAAGATTAGCTTCAACTACATAAATAATCGCTTTTCCCCAGCTGTTGGTCAAAAGGGAGATAAAAGGGAGACAAAAGGGGAAAAACATCTACCATACAGAGAATACTTCACAAACAAGATATACAACTTCATTCGGAGGAGGGTACTTCTAGTAAGAAACCAATCTAGAACAGTATTTATAGATTGATACAGTGCGACTTGTCGACGTGCCAGCATGGACCTTATTGTTAGGTGGTCCCAATAGGAAAGAAGCATTACCCACTCAAAGCCTATCACATCAAATATCTGATAACCTACGTTAAAGAGGGCGGGATTTTAGAGAGTCACAAAGACATACCTAAAGCTATACACGACGAATTATACAGGGAAGAGCAACAGAGGCTGGAGAAAGACAAGCGCAAAGGAGGTCAGGCCATTGGAACCGGAGCGTCATATCCTCCTATTAACATTCTTAATGTTCTACCCTCCCAGTCCTCTCCCTATAGCTTGAATATTTCGGCTCCCCAGCCGGCGGATGACTTGACGTCTATGAGCCGTCTCGACATTCCTAGGCCCAGAGACGCAGCTGTGAAGGAATATGGTGAGTAGCAGGTGTCAAATGTTGACAATGACACCCTGAAAACCTCATTTCGACAAATGTACAACGTGATGCTCGAGAACGGTCTTGATCTTGAGTAAGTGTACAAAGACCAAGACCCAAAATTCTTCATTGAGAAAGGAGTCAAAATAGGGATCGCTCGACGTTTCGTAGATGATATTGGGAAGTGGGTTAAGAACGTGAAGAACGCGATTAGTTTTTACGAACCTCTTTAGTCTTTGCAGACGTTGACGAGTGCGTCCTGGCGTTATCTGGCATTATGTTGAGGACTGTTTGTATCGAGTAACGTGGCTTCCGCGGGAAATCACTATTAGTTGCATTAAAGATAATTGCACACAAGTTTTTTGAAGTCGCCAGTTTAATATAAATCTAGACATTCAAGACATAGATGTTGGGAATCATGATGGTATTGTTTAACCATGAAACGTGATTACACTATATGCTTGTATTCAATTCCGCATCACAATAAAAATATCTTCCCTCTCGTTCAACACACAAAAAATCTAACCGCAATGGAGAGAGGAAAGAATCAAGGGTCTCTACTGTACCTCCTGCGAAAGAGAATGCGCGAGAGTACTGCTCGCTTGGATCGATGGCCAGCTACAGATTCTCGTACTGATATTCCTGTGGACGTTTTAACATTTTTTGTCATTTTGTATTCCAACTGCTGATTTAGCAAGCTTGTTTGGATGAAGAGTCAACCACTCGAGCCACTCGACGCCAGTTGTTGAGGGTAGATATTGAAAAGAGTGTGTATGGATGGTCAGGACCCAATTGTTGGCTGCGGAGTCGAGCACACTCATCCATCATCTGTAAGGCAACTTTGTCCTGACCCGAGGACTTTACGATCAACGCAAGGTTGTTCATACTCGTCAGAGTGTCAGGATGCTCCAGTCCGAGCACTCGCCTGCGGGTCTCTATCACCTGCACCTGCAGCTCTTTAGCTTCCTTCCATCGTCCTTGATCCCGGTAGGTCAATGCTAGGTTGTTCATACTCGTCAGAGTGTGAGGATGCTCCAACCCGAGCACTCGCTTGCGGGTCTCCATTACCTGCACCTGTAGCTCTTCAGCTTCCTTCAATCGCCCTTGATTCCGGTAGGTCGATGCTTGGTTGCCCATACTCTTCAGAGTGTCAGGATGCTCTAACCCGAGCACTCGCTTGTGGGTCTCCATTACCTGCACCTGCAGCTCTTCAGCTTCCTTCCATCGTCCTTGATCCCGGTAGGTCAATGCTAGGTTGTTCATACTCGTCAGAGTGTGAGGATGCTCCAACCCGAGCACTCGCTTACGGGTCTCCATTACCTGCACCTGTAGCTCTTCAGCTTCCTTCAATCGCCCTTGATTCCGGTAGGTCAATGCTAGGTTGCCCATACTCGTCAGAGTGTCAGGATGCTCCAACCCGAGCACTCGCTTGCGGGTCTCCATCACCTGCACCTGCAGCTCTTCTGCCTTCTTCCATTGACCGCCAAGCCTATAGGCTGACCCGAGAATATTGGAACTGGAAAGTGTCTCCTCACTTTCCGGACCCAATAAATCTTTCCTTACGTTGGTAGCTTTCTTTACCATTCTCTCGCTGTTGATGAAATCTCCTCTGCTCCGTGCGAACGACGCCGCGTTATGAAGCAGTGATGCCCATTTACGTAGCGAAGCTTCTGTATAGGGCCGCTGCGCGACTGCGCACTGCACATGAGCAAATAGCAGTTGGCACTCTGTCCAGTTCTTGAATATTCCTGTTGGAAAATTGCTGTCAAGCCGTCGAATGAAGTGTTCCTTCCAGCTCTCGAGTTGGGCGTGAGCCTTAAGCCATTCCTGAATCGCGAGTTGGACTAGTCGGTGCATCTCAAAGTTTTTGCCATCTGTATTGACAGATACCATCGAGTAGTCTCTCAGCATGCATATATCGTCCTCGAACTTTTCAATCTCGTCATGTCCGCTTGCGCTCTCTGTATCACCTGCGTCGCTCTCATCACTCTTGCTATTCGAATATTTTGTCTCTGTCTCACTTCGGAGCAAGGTATCAGGAATCCCTTGTCTATCAAAGAAGCTCATAAGGGACAATAAATCAGTTGCCGATGGCCTCTTCCTTCGAATATGATCAAAAGATATTTGCCATGTGACAAGGATACAGCTCTTGGCTTCAGGGTCTCTGCGAAGATGTCCCTCCTCATAATCAAGAAGACTGGTCTTCTGGCGATCGCTCTTCCGAAACCTTTCTAGATATCGTTTTACTGACTCCCTTGGTGCCCTTTGCTTGATGTATGCCGCTGCTTACACAATTGCAAGAGGCATAAAGTCCAATGCCGTACTTAGCTGTATCACATCCTCTCTATTAACTTGCTCACTGAGCTTTTTCTCGAAGAGCGATATTGCATGGCTTTCATCCATCGCTTTAACTGGAATAATGTCATAATGTTCCACGATTCTTAATACCACACTTTTACTTCGACTTGTTATGATGATAGATCCATTCAAGCTCCGAGAGAAATATGACCAGATTGATCTTCCTGGTTTATCACTCTGGCCGCTCTCAAGGCTGTCTGGGTCGACCGAGGTACTTGTGTGGAGGAATTCACCGTCGTCGAGATTATCAAGAATGAGAACCCATCGCCTCGTTTTCGCATCATTCAACCAGCTATATAGGAGTTTGAATATGTTTGCTTTAGGGTTCTGCCGGCCAGGTATCTTGGCTCGGTCAACAATTTCCTGACAACTCTGCTCGAAACGCGATGCATTGCTCGCATGAATCCAGAAAACCCATGTTGCGGGCGATTGGTCTCGAATTCGGTGGCAATACTCGATAGCTAGTTGCGATTTTCTTCTAAGCTGTCAGCGATAGAAACCCTGTTAGCCGTTATAAACTCACCCCACGCCACCTAGACCAGTCAGCGCTATCCGAGCACCTGGTGCAGACCCTTTTTCATATATCTGATCGAGGAGCGTCCCACGATCAACGAAGTCGGGGTCGCGACGGAACGGGATGATCAATAAAGGGGCTGGTGGAGTTTCCGGTCGTTCTAGGCCAAACAGCGGTTATCAGTCAACGTAGCCTGGTTAATAAAGGG